CTGACTTCCGCCGCAGCCTGACTTCCGCCGCAGCCTGACTTCCGCCGCAGCCTGACTTCCGCCGCAGCCTGACTTCCGCCGCAGCCTGACTTCCGGCGCTTGCGCAGCCGCCCCGTCGCGGGGCGCGGTCGGCGGGTGCGGTTGCCTGGCTTCCTTGTGTGGCGTGGAGGGTTCGCAGTCATCCCCGTTCCGGCCGCGGCGGCGTCTCCGAGAGCCTCGGCGCCTGCCGGCAGCACAGATTGAAAACCCTTGTGTGGGCGAGTGGCTGCGGGGCGGGCAGACGAGGTCGCTCGTGATCGGTCCTGTCCTTGGGTGACACGCGATCTGCAGGCGGGTAACGGCCGACGTGAGAGCCCCGGGCGCAGCGTGGACTCCCGGTGCAGCTGTTGCCGTCCGTCCTTCCTGCATGGGAGTCAGTGAAGCTTTGGACCAGTACGCGCAAGAACATACTCTCACGGGGGAGTGTTTTGGTCGCTTTTGCTTGTTTGCTTGTGATCTTGGGGAGTGATCCCGAGACCTTCACGCTAAATTATATCCCCTGTCCTTTTTAAATTTGGAGACAGTCTTGCAGCCTGGGCTTGTGATTCAGCCTCCAGGGCACCACGCCCCCGCCTCGCCCCTTGGTAAAGCCTAACGGGCAAGCCTGGTGTGCTTGCTGTGTCGGTGCGCTCACCTCTACCCGTGGTGTTTGAAGGCAGCATTCCTCAGCTGTGTCCCAGAGCCAGGAGCTCCCGCACCAGATTGGTATTTTGGAAGAAAAGACGCTGGTCTTAACTGTCCAGGAAAAGAGGAAAATTTCTGTCCTGCTTTCTGCCTAGTCTTAAAATATGTAAAACTTAGGTTTATTTTATTTATTTATTTATTTATTTATTTTCAGAACGGGGGATTGAACTCAGGCCTTTGCACTTGCCAGGGAAGCGCTTATTCTACTGAGCTATCTCCCTGGCCCCAAAACTTAGGTTTATTAAGAACAACAGGTTCCTACTCTAAATATTAAATGTCTTAGTGGTTTAGTGCACACCTGTAATCCCAGCACTTTGGAAGGCTGAGGCAGGAGGATCGTTGTGAACTTGAGACCAGCCTGGGCTACAAAGTGAACTCAAGGGCAGCTTCAGCTGCATAGCAAGACCCTATCCTTAAAAAAAAAAAAAAGAAAAATGTAAATATTTACTGCAATATTATACATGCGGTAAAGTTGATGTTAAGAAAACAGGGCTGGCGAAATAGCTCAGTGGACTAAGCTCCTACTTAGGCAAGCTCAGGGACCGGGGTTCAATGCCGGGCGCTACATGCTGCATCAGCCCCGCCTCCAGGCGCACTGAGCCAGCCACCAGTGCGGTGAGCTGGCTCATGCTCACAGTCCCCAGAACAGGAGGATCGCTGAGTCTGAGCTGCGTAGCGAGACCCTATACCAAATACATTAAAAAAGAAGAAAACAAAAAACAATGGATACAAGTTCTGACTACAATATATACTGTAATGTCTATGAACTCACCGCTTTTTCAGTAATGTGGAACCGAGCAGGGTATGAGACAGGAAAGACATAATGTGTATGCATTTGCATTGTAAACACTCCTGTTTTTCTCATGCAAAAGTTTTCCTTTGAAACTCACCATGCTGGGTTGTGTGTGTCTCAGTGGTAGAGCTCTTCCCTGCATGCAGGAAGTCCTGGCTCAGACCCCAACACTGCAAAGATACTGTGACAAAATCACTATGCCTTAGTGTCTGGTTTGGTTTAAAATAAGGTTGGGTTAGGTTGGGTTAGTGAAGTTGTCAATGAAATAAACCTGACCAAACATGACTCGTTTTTTTAAAATATGTCGGGTTTATTACCCTATTCTAATTTTTTATACTTGAATTTTTTCATAATCTTTTAAAAGGTAAAGGAGGATGGAGGTGTGGTTATGCATGTCTGCAATCCCAGCATTCTAGGAGACTGAGGTAGGAGGATCACAAGTTCAAGTCCACCCTGAGCATCTTAGTGAGACCTGGACTTAAAAAAATGAAGGGCTGCGGTTGAACATCA